CTACAGTGGGAGAGAGCTGTGGCTGGTGGGGCACGCTGTGCCCTCTACCTTTCTTTCCAGGCACCATTGGGGAGATACATGGCTTTTGAAGTGCATTTGAATAAACAGTCTGAAAGCTGCGACCCTGCATGGCTTCTTTCTTGCAGCCTCCTCCACATTTGAGGCCCCAAAGCCACTTCTTCTTGACCTGCCAAAGGGAGTGTTATGCCCAGAGGTCCCTAACTAAGGGCAGGGTTGACAGCCAGGGCATGGTGACGGTGTCAGGGGTCCATAGTAGAAGCTAGCAGCACTAACTGTGCCACTTCTTGGCATTTCTGGTGGCCACACAGGGTGCTGCACAGGGACGGGAGGACCCCAGCCTTATGCTGACGTTAGTCTTGTCTCCGGAGCACCCAAGCTGGTGGACCTGGTCTTAGCTCTCAGCAGCTGGCGTCCTGGGACTTCTTCTCTATTCGGTAGCATTCTTCTCCTCGTCAGGCACTGCTGCTGCTTAGATCCCATGGCTGCTGCGGGTGAGTGGCGAGACAAAGGGCTCCATAGCCAGAGACTTGTGGGTGCTGAGAGGAACCCACCGGGGAAACACAGAGAATTCAAGAGGGCCTGCGTGTTCTAGCAAAAAGCTTTGTGACTGAAGCCAGAAAGGGAGAAAATTGGTGACTCCAGGCCCTTCACGATGCATTGGTGTTTCTGCAAGGAAATCTATTATTTTCCATAAACTGTCTTAAGCATCTCCCAGGCTACACTTCTGGCTGTGTTAAGAATCAAGCCATCAAGAACAGCTGTGAATGTTATACACGTTCAGCAGCAGCGATGGGCTTTGGCAGGGAAGTAGGAGCGAAAAACCCAAGTAGGACATTTCAGTTGACAGTAATGGCATTTTCCCTTCCTTGTCCAAACGATAAAAGATTCATGCTCCTAATTGCAACACTATAGCTGCCCCCATCACTTTATTCTGGGAGAGGTTAGAGAAAACAGGCCTAGAGAGAGGGAGAGAAAGAGAGAGAGAAAGAGAGATGGATAGTAATTTCATCACTAGCTAACAGAGACTGATTAGTGCAGAAGATTCCCTTCCATAGCAATACTTTTTAATCAGGACTGCTGTGTCTGGGCAAACAGCTTTTGTGGATTAGCTAGACTGGAGCCTGCCAACATCCGTTGCAAGTTTAAACGATGAAATACACAACTACAGAGAAAACAAACCAAAGAAGAGTAATAAAGTCACACATTTCAATATTCAGCAACCATTAAGGGATTTAAATATTTGCTCGCTATTAAAGGCTTGCATTAGGCTCTTCCAACACCAGCTCTGGAAGACTGAAATATCAATTACGGATCAATTTTCCCCCTAAGTAAACACTAATGCAGGATAAACAGTATTAGAAGATGCCATCGTAACATTGCTGACTTCAGGATGGACTTCCTGCTGGTAACAGCAAGTTTAAGCCTGGTGATTAATTAACCTGAGAAGATAGCACTTAGGGAAAATTTAAGGCGGGCACGTCTGAAATATGGCTGCGAGCCAGTGCGCATCGAGGGGGCAGCTGGAGAATGCCGGGACCCATCCCGCGTGGATTTGCCCCTCGGTAGTGCTCCATGCTCCTCAGCTCACCACTCCACAGGATTAGGAGGGAGGAAAATGGAAAGGGCAGGTGTGTGTGTGTGTGTGTGTGTGTGTGTGTGCGTGTGTGTGTGTGTGACGGAAAATGTGGGAGACCTGGTCAGGTTCCTCTTTGGAATTACTAGCTCCATATTTCAATATGCAAGACTTGAGTTGCAGTTCCAGGCAGCGGCCCCCAGGAGTAGTGCACATTTTACGTTCACTTGGGAGCAGAAGACTAAAGCATACCAAACAAAGCAAATATATGCCCCCGTGTACCGAAGAGCCAAGACACAGAGGATTAGAAGTGAAAACAGATCTGCTTGCAGGCTCTCCCATGACCCTTGTGCCCACCACCCTCCTTCTACCAAGTGTGATAGTCTGAGGCTGTGTGGTGCCCAGTGAATCCTACAGCTCCTACCAGAGGCCTATTTCAGCACTTTGAGATAAACACTGAGGAGGCAAGGAGTGTGAGTTTCTAATACATCGCACTGCGTTCTGAAGCCCCCTTATAGGATAACAGTGTTACCTTATGGCTTTACTTAACCATTACTAAAAATGGCACCATTCCCCAGAAGGGGAACTGGAATGTGGTTCAGTAGGTTCTTAATGATGGGATCAAAGGCACTACACTCAGGGCAGGCCAGCTGATCTTCTTCAAGGCCAGCCTGAAAGCTATCTCTATCAAGAATGAAATTAAAAAACACCAAGTTTCAACACACAAAATTGGTGCCCCATTCTACGTATAAGCGAGACTCAGCCAGCCTGATCCTAGACTGCTCCACTTTAGTCAACTACTGCTTGCTGAGAGTCCACTCTATACCTGCCACTGACTTTTGTATATTGGCCACTAGGTCACTCAGATGACAGCTGAGAATGCCTTCTTCCTTCCCCTGTACAGTGGATCAGGACATCCAAGTGCTTCATTTTGGAAATGTTTCAGAATATAATGTGTAGCTGTGAATATCAATTTCACTCTGCAGGAATGTGGCTGCCAACTCTTCATGACTAAGGCTGTGTATCTGGCATTCCAGCAAATAGGTGTATTAGTCTGAGGCACAATATTGTAATGGAACACAAACGCTTCACTTACGCAGGGCTCTTCTACCTGTCGCATGGTGATCGCATGGCTGCTTTAAGGCTCTGGATGATGGAATGAAAGGAACATTTCTCTGTGGAGTGAGTCCACAACAGTGTAAGAATTACACTGCATGCAGATAGAGGGCAGTGAAAGATCGCACCAATTATTACTTGCATATTGCCTCAGGGGTCCAGCTGATGTATTTGGAGAGTGCAACCGGCCAAAACATTGTGAAAGCTCTCTGGGGACAGTGAGGACCATTTTCAATCTCATTCCATTGGAAGAACCAGGCAACTTATCAAGCCTCTACTAACACTGCCTTTGGCACCTTCTCATTTGCATATCCTCTGGAGCCCAAAGGGCTGATTGCTACCTTACATCTGCCTCAGTTCAATGACCTTCTGGGGTCCCCTCTCTGCAGGTTACAGTTGGAAGTGGAGCTTTATGTCACAGATAATAGGGAGATGAGTAGGGGCGTTACACAGGACATCGCACATGGCTTGGAACATTCATATTACTGAATAGTGACAAGGAAGGGGGTTACTAAAAATTCCAGGACGAGGTTCAAAGGGACACAATGTGTCCACGCAGAGGACTCTGAAGAGTTCCTTTAAGTAAAAACTGTGGGTAAATTTCTTTTTAATCACCATTTGCCTCTAGCCTGTATTGTGATGAACATGCAATAAATGGTTATTTTCTATCTGGAACCTTAAATTCCTGAGCTTTGATTGCTTTTTTTTGGGGGGGGGGTTGGGGGGAGGGTACCAGGAATTGAATTCAGGACTTTGTTTGCCAGGTAGGGCATGTACCAGAGCTAAATCCCTGGCCTCTGATTGCTTTTTCTTTTTTTTAATGCTGGAGATTGAATCCAGAACTTACTATATGCTAAACATGTGCTCTACCACTGAGCCACACCCCCAGCCTGCAATTTCTTTAACAACTTTTGAGCTTATGCCAATCTGTCATATAGTGCAGGAGACCAACACCAGGAAGGTTTGGCAACTTCTCTGCAGTTTCACAGCTAATAAATGGTGGGGCAGGGGTTTAATCCTAGGTGGGCTCACTCTAGCTGCCCTGCTGAGTGCTCCCCCAAACTGCCTGTGTGGGTCTTGATCTATACAAATCTGAAGTTTGCATTCCCCACTGCTCTCTGCCCCTTGGCAAAGCCTCTGTGCTGGACTTTGCGGACAGTCAAAACTGATCTGCCTTCCATGTAGAGGGGATTTCATTGGGTTCTTCCCATACACGTTAGCAGGCTGGCTGGGCCCAGAGCCCTCTGTACCAGACTCACTTCCTTCACCACAAAACCACCCTGCTAAATCTAGCACGGTTCCCAGTTGTCTCCATGGAGCTGACTTGCCAGCTAGCCTCCAATCATTCCCTTCTCTAAGAAATTTACAGACTCCCGGGGCTCCTTCCTATCCTGGATGTGGCAGGCATAACTGAGGGCCACTTCATGTTTTCATATGGTGTAACTGATATGCAGTTGGCCTCTCAGGGCAAAAAGAAAAAAAGAAAGTAAACACCCCTATGGGCAAGACACCAGGCCAGGTCTTAAGAGGCCAAGATAAGACACACAGCTTTGGCTTTTCTGGAGCTTACCTTTTCTGTCATTCCTGAGCCTTTCCCATTTACCTGACCGAGAGAGAAGGGGGGAACTCAACCACTGTGGGTGAGCAGAGGGGAAGGGCACCTGGAGACAGGTCACATATTATCTGCTCATTTGTAAGATCAGCCACCATGAAGTGCAGTCATTGTTCACTTTGGCCTGCAAGGCAAAGACTACGACAACAGACTGAGCCCTGCTGTCCACCCAGGCCTGGAAGCGTCAGCAACCTAAACAGCAAGTGAGAACAATCTTCTGCAGGCAGCCAAGCCAGTCGGCGGCGCTCACTTCTTGCTTTTGTGAGTGGAGAGAGAACTTTAAATGAAGAAGGCAGGATGAACTGTTAAGACACAAAATCCCAAAGGAAGAGACAGGTGGAGCAGGCAACACAGGGGAGTTGGTGGGGTGGTGGGTGAAAGGGGGTGAGGGAGGGAGGTCAATCCGCGGCTGGGGCCTGGGCCTGGGCCTGGGGCCCGGCTGCTGCATCCTGCACGGATCACTGAGTCCACTGGAGGGGCCGCTGGCTCACCTGGGCTCTGAGAGGGCAGAAGAGGATGGGGACAGGAGGGAGGAGCAGAAGGAGAGAGAAGGTGGTCCCAGGAGACCCAGCCAGGTCCGAGCACTGCTACTCACGGCTGGGGCAACACCAGGTCCTAAGGAGAAAGCGTGGCCTGAGGCTGAGGCGTCCGTAAGAACTCCATAAAGAGATTAAAGGATCACTTTGTAACATTAACTTTTTTTTTTATTAAGAAGACAGATATTTTATAGTACTTCTTTTTTTTTTTCCTTTTTTTTTGTAAAAATGGTATACATGAACCAATACAAAATGCGCATGGGGACATATGGATATGGAGTTTCTTACACTGTAACATTGTCCATGTACACCTTAAAAACAGAACTGGCCTAGAGGGAAAAGTAAGACATTGGTGTGACTAAAGAACAAGCTTATTTGGCATCAATTATACATCCTTCATTATTTTATAGTCCTTTAAAAAACACAAAAAACAAGTTTGTTCTTTCTTCACTCTAAAAAAAGTGATCAACCTGTACAAAGTAATACTCAACAATACATTTCAAACAGTGCACTGTATACTTAAGAAAAAATACATAAACCAATATACAACTAAAATCCATAATATCCTGTTTTTGCTTTGTTTTATTATTTTTTTCCAATGTGTGGGGCCTACACTTTGCAATCTACCTGAGACGGAAAACACCAATCGAAACACATGAACCTGAGACATGTCAACATTGTAAGCCATAAAGTTACATCAGGACCACTGCACTACTGTACACTTCTCGAAAACAGAAAGATGGGAGCTTCCAAAAATGAGATGCCAATTCTGTGAGCAATGGTTGTTTTTTGTCTTTGTTTTTTCTAAAAAGAACAACTGAAAAAACCTTTCAACAACATGCTAAATGGTTCTCACCCTTTGATATGGTTACACTATGGTCAGAATGGGTGCTACAGGCTCGGAATAGAGCTGCACGTTATAAAATTCATTGAAAAAGGGATGTTCGTTGTGGCTTTTTGTCTTGGTTAAGTGCCTAGGGATAGGAAAGGGGTAAACAAAATGCTGCTCGATAATGGATTTTCTATTACATACCAGTCCGTTCCCAAAAGGCCCCCATATTGCAATGGTTCTATCAAAGGTTAAAATAAAGACAAGAAAAATAAACACACTTTCAAGTAACAAAGGGTTGACACTTTTTTCCCCTTAAATAAATCAGCGTAAGTTTTCCACATAATGTAACAATAGTAAAAATGCACCTTGCAAAATCCAAAATTACTCACTGAAAATGTTATATAATATATATTTATATATATATATATAGAACTATCTTTGTTGATGCCATCTTTCCATAGGGACTGTTATCTGGAGTCTAGAGCCTTACCAAAACATAAGGTAAGAGTTTAGTCTTTGTCCTTCAGGACTACTTCTAGATTTCCTACACATTTCAGTGAAAATCCCCACATTGCCTTAAAAAATGGAAATGGTCGCTTGGCTGTACCTTTCCTGAGGCTCCCCATCTAAGATATGTTCAAGGTAACTGATTTTAGTAGCTATGTACTATGGCTGCCATCATGCAAGACCAGGAATTTTTTGGCAGATGGTTCTTAAGGCTGAGGAAAGAGGCCAAGGCTAGTGTATGAAAGGTAAAAAGATAAAAACACTCACATTTGAGTTTTGATTAAGTAACTGAAAAATCCCTACATGCTGCTTTTTCCACCTCTGCTCTGACCTTCTCGAGAACTGAGATCACCAGCAGCCCAGTGTGAGAACAATACCGGCCCTTCTTTTGTACCTCTTGCCTTTGTCAAGCCAAATCGGAAGGAATGAAAGTTTCACACGGATTGGAGTTGGAAATCCCAGCATGACAAATATCTGTAATATACAGTACATGCAGGCCACATCCTACTGCCTTCCTAACTGAGCACAAAGGAAAGAAAAGAAAACAGAAAACAAACAAAAAACAACCCTGTCCCATTCTGTCATCCGCACAACACCTGGACTTGCTTTTTCCTATAAATTAGTGAGAAGTAAGGCCGATTGGGAAAGGTGGATGGAATCATTTGGAACAGAAATAACCAGAGCAGAACTGTCTTTTCCCCCCTCCCTACTTCCCCTCCTGTGGCAACTCAAATTTGTCCACTTATATAAAAGGAACAGACCTCACCTGTCGGGTCTGTTTAGGGCATTAGAAAGGAGGAACCCTTCCCGCCCCAAACCTTTCTGGACAGCATGGGGTATCTATACTGAGCCGTCTACAGACACAGAATTAAAGACAGATTCAATCTCATTGTGACACACCTCACTTGCAGATAACCCTGTACAGTAATGTAGTTCCACAGCAAACAGAACATTTTCTGAATCACAGTCTAATTTTCTAGTCTTCACTGCTCTAAGTATTTGAAACATGGGCAGCAGCAAAGAGTTTTCATTGTTTGTTCACCCAAATCTTACGACAACAGAGAAAAATGCATTATGAATACACTAAATTCTGAACTATGAAATCTAAACTGTGCTGGTTCTCCTTTTATGAAACTGAACTTGGAACAGAAAACAGTTACCTCAAAAATAAATGAAAGAAAGTCAAAACAGTAACAGAAATGGGGAGAAGAATCTAAGGAATCCCAGCAGGCAAATTCCAAAACGGGAGATTTTTGAAAAAAAAAAAAAAGATCCAAAATTTGTTCGGAAAAAATAAATGCTCACAAAGAGAAGGGGGAAAAAAGACAACAACAAACAAACAAACAAACAAACAAAAAAAAAACCAAAAAACAAGGCACAGAATTTTCTGCAGTCTACTGAAACTAAACCCAAGTACCCAAGTTTGACTTGGTAGGAAGAAATAAAAATTAAAACAAGCAAACAAACAAATAAAAAGAGGTGTCAAACAGCAATGTGTACTTTTCAAAGAACATTTTCTTTTTTTTACACAGCAAATCCCAAGCCTTCCCAGTCTCGCAACTTTCCACCCATTCATAAAAAAACACACGAGTTTCTCGCAAGTTCCAATATCACTGTCTCTTTATCATCTAAATAGGGCCAGTTGGACACCTCATTGAAACAAAAAGGCTGATCTAGATGAAGTACTCTTTCTTTTCTTCAGAGTTGTTCTGTCCTCCTTCTGCATTGATTATAGCTGTGTCTGCGTCTGCTGCGTCATCGGCTCCTTTGGCTTCATGAGTGAAGTATGTACCTGAAAGATGAAGGGGTAAAGCACCGTGACTGTCTGATGGCCTCTGTGCAAAGTGGTACAGAGATGGCAACTTGCTTTATGGCCATCATCAGCCGAAGTGGTGTGCAGGCAGCAGAGGGGAAAAAACAATTGGAAGAAGAGAGCGAGGTGGGGGAGACAAATGGGAATCCGGGGGTTCCAAAGGCACCACTCCAACTGAACCGCTGCGATATAATTCAGCAAATGAGACATTAGAGCAGTGATTATGACCAGAGGATGTCAGCAGAAGAAGACGTGAGTGGGAGCTAAAATGCAGAAAGCTGGAGAGCTGCTGACTAACGCATAAACAGTAAACACCAAAGACCAATGACCAGAGATGTGCACGCACATGGTTAAAGACCAAAGCAAGGAAAAGCAATTAGCCAATAAATGAATTAGGGCCCTGATGACGCTGCTACTGTCATCCTGAATTGCTTATCGGAACCACAATCTCCTGGCTTCGAGAATCTTCACTGGCTATCCGCAAGTGAAAACATGCTTGAACTTGCATAAGTATGTTTGACTTCCTTCTGCCTCCCGTTTCAGAGTGGCGTTCCAGATTGAGAAATAATTTGACATTGTGATGGCTGGAATCAAGGCTTAGGGGGGTCTGTCTCCATGAGTAAGTGATTTTCTCATTATGTAACTATATCCCGGACCCGGATTCATGGATTTGCTAATTGGCACAGCCACTTTATAATGACAATAGACAGAAACGTTACAAAACTGGTGGCATTCATTATCACCAAATCCCAAGAGTTTACATGGAGGAAGACATGGACTCCACCTCAGCAGAGTATGTAGGTAGCACTTAAACATCCTGGCATAATCAAACAGCCCTTCTCCCCCTGTATTCTGTATTTCTAAAGGTTCTTAAGGTTAAAGAGGCTGAGACATTTGGCTCTTTCTTAATGTTGCAGAGGGACACAGTGGAGAAACCAAGTGCTTTCCTCCTGTGTCCCCTCTTCCCTGCCTTCTGCAGCAGCTGCTCTGTCTCTGCCCTGCTCCCTGGTATCACCTCCCTGGCTGTGTCAGGTTCAACACTGAGAGGCAAGAGTTCTCAACCAGTCAGCTGGGAGAATTCCAAACTGGGTTATGCCTAAAGAGGACACTTGTGAAGCACCTGGGACATCCGGTGCTGTGCTCAAGGGAGCTTCCCTGGACCTCGGTTACAATCAAGCTATCTGCAAGAGCCTGGAGAACGCCACCAGATCTCTCTGCACAGTGCTTGAGAAAAACAAGAGAACAAGACATGGGCCGACAACGAAAAGGAAGAATAAATCACCAGGAGGGGGAAGAGGCTCAGAGCAGCATGGGGCAGAGAGGGGGAGCCCAAAAAGCGATGATTGCCCATCCAGACTCACAGCTGGTAAGTGTGGTGATTAATAGCAATTTAAATCAATTGCACCGATAATTTAAAAAATACATATTTATGTGGCGTTTAAGGCAAAGCATTTTCTATAACCGGGGCACATCACACCAAAGAAGGGTTCTAGTCCTCCTGGCCCGCCCGTGTAATTACCCAGAGTTTGGGGCCTGAGGTCAGGACTCGTCCACCTGTCTCCTAGCAAACAGCCTGTTGTGGGGAAGTTTTTCCATGTTTACCATTCAGAGTTCACACTGTCTCTCACACACCAGCTCCTCACTTTGTTGTTTCTGCTTTACCCCCTTTGATGGACTAGAGACTCTATAAAGCTTTAGAGAAAACCAGAATCAAGGCATGTTTCTCATCAACTCTCAGAGATCTAATCAGCAGCTGCTGAAGTTTCTGCTTTCTCCCCTCTCTCCCAGTTTCAGAAGTCTGACAGGTGGTGTGGCTACATTCGCTAACCTGCCTATCGAGGACCACCTTGCTAAGTCCCCAAATGCAGGGGCTGTGGTGATGTGTTGCTCCTGCCTGCCAAAGCACCTTGCTTACCTTTATGTCTGGCAAAATAGCGCCCCAGAATGATGAGCAAGCACAGCATGGCGAACACCACCACGGCCACGACGCCGCCAATCACGGCATGATCCACTGCCCTTATTGAGCCTTCTTCACCTGCTCGAGAATCTGTTGAAATCACAAGAGGAATAGGGATGTAGAGCTTATTACAAGACACCAGGAGCCCTGGTGACACTGCCACCGGGGTTAGAAGGCCACCTTCTTTTTTAATGGAGGAGTCAGAGAGAACAGTCAAGATGGATCAAGTTCCACAGAAGGAACGGACTGACCTGTTCAGTGCTGAACTGATGTGTTCTCCCCACAAGGCAATCTCATTAAGGGCAGCGCAGGAGTGCCAGTACACGTGGAGCAGGCTCAGGGAGCCAGCAGGGGGACAGGGAGTCTACTCAGTCCTGCCCTGGTCCTGGTGCCCACTCTATATCCACCTGCAGATCCTAAGGAAGGAAGCTGACCTGGCTATCTGAGGCGGCCCTGAATGGTACCTTTAGGCAATCACAGGGACTGTGGAGGGGGAAAGGGGATCTCTCTATGGATGTCCAGTGACTTAGTCCACAATGGGTACATGTAGGAGAAAATCAAAGCTCAAACGCCACAGCTGCCTAGAGATAAAGCAAGAATTACAAGCCTAAGGACAAGTGACATGCTGGCTACATGGAGGATGTATGAGGGAGTAAGCCTCAATTTAACCTAAAAACCTATTTCAAAAAAGACAGCAAGGAATAATTGTCCATTGCCACAGATGGTTTTTATTTATTTAACACTGCATGATGCAATTAATTTTCCTTTATAAGCATCACTCCCTCGGGATGTCTTCTTCCGACTGAGGAACGACATGTTTGGCTGGGGAACAACTCCAAAATGAACCCAGAATGAGCTATGGCAATGCAGAATGGATGTATGGCAGTGTAAACAATTTTAATTTAGGAATGTGGCTACATCACCCCTCAGTGAAATCCTAATGGCACCCGAGATTTATAATGTAGTAAAAAACAATTATTCTCCCGTTGATTAATACATTAACATTTTGGAGTGGAAGCTAAACCATTGTCTTTTTTTTTATTGAGTCAAGTACGACACCTCCATTAAAATGATTTACTAGCTGTACCCTACAATTTAAGCACAGCAGCAACAGAAACGGTAAAAATCTTTTAACTTTACATGATTTGTGAAGTCATATGTGAAGGATTTACCATTTAAATCTTTCAGTACAAGAAGCACATGGCCTATAAATCTGTCCCCCTTGCAGTTGCTGGATGCCTAAGAGAAATGCATTTCACCGGGAAGACTGAGAGTGCAAATTCAAGTCAATTTCTAAGAAAGATTTATCTCTGTCTCTCTCCAAAGAACAGAGCAAATCTCTGAAGCCTCCACCTCTAATAATATTTGAAGTTTATCGATCAAGTGTACAGATCCGTGACAGCTAAAGGTAATGGTGCTCTTTTGAGCCGAAACCTGATACAACGCTTTCAGCAGGAGGGCATGATTTACACTTTCTATCGATATTTCCAATTCTGCTCGGAGATGAAGTACTGAAGGATGTGGGGAAATAACTCGTGACTGAGGGGTCCATGAAAACTGTTTTAATTAAAAGAGTTTAAATTAAGATGGAGTATTTAAGTGTTTCATTAAGTTACCTTTGAAAGGAGAACAGAAAAACCAAAACCCTAAACCCAAACAGAAATGCCAAGTTGGAGGCAGCAGTGGGTCGCCCAGGACAACAGGATGATGGGAGTTTAATTGGAGGATGGAGATGGGTTTGAGGCAGAGAGCACCACAGCCAATTAGCCTGTGCCGTGGCGTGCAAGCCCCTCCAGCAACCTGTCTAATAAGCTCGGCTCAAAAAATGGTAGCGCGGCATCTCCCTCCTCAGCCGAAAATGTTGCCGACTGCAGATGTTCTAGCCTCCACTGTCTCAAAGTCATTTCAACAAGGCAGAACTCACCATGGCATTTTTCCCCCTTTTTTACAGACAAGAGAGCTTGTTGAAGGGTAGAACTTCCCTTGGGGTGCTGCTAAGAGAAAGGGTTTTACACACGACAGGGTTGTACTCCAATTGCTCAAATTCAGAAGTGTTCACAGGGGTACACAGTTAACAATAAAGCTAGCCACATGTATATTCCTCAGGGAGCTGTCAAACTAGGAGATTTGTAGGGATAAGAATTAACTAATCTCCAGCTGCCATGAGCTTCAGACCTACTGGAATTTATATGCCTCTCAGTGAGCCTCAAATGTCTTAGAACTGGGTGAGAAAGGTGAACTGATTCTAGATATTGAGGAAAGGAAAAGGTGTAAGAGGCAAGAGATGGAGACAGATCTCATCTGGGGGCAAACTGAGAACACAGAGAAGCTTCCAGAAACTGTCCAAAGGCAGCTCTAACTTATTTGAGGGGAGGTACTCTCTTATCCACTGGTAGAAGATTGCTTCTTCCATATGTAGGTATGCAAACAACCTAGAAGATCTATCAAACCAGAGAGAACAAGGAGCAGGTATGTGGGCCCTCTGAGGCAGGGAAAAACAAACAAAAAACTCCTCAGAAGAAAAATATCACAGGGTATGTATCTGTGGGATTAATTTTCTGAGTCAAAACTATTCATCTGACCTTTGCTCCCCATGATCAATGTTGCTACTCCCCACCCCAATAGAATACCTAAGTTCTAGTTATCATTTCTACTCTCAAGGACATATGTATTTTGCAGATATTTATAAGCATGATCTCTCTAGCTATCTTCTGATACTCACTTTGATCAGAAAGTTTACTACCACCAGTTAATCACTGAGACATTTTTCCTGCCTTCAATTACTGCAGACGGACACAGAAGGTACCTGCTGTTTAATTTACAGGGCACACTGCCAGTTACGAGCTCCTCACCGCCTCTTCCCACCCTACTCCCACCTCCCGGGTTTACTGTGGGAGGCAGTAATAGAGTTGTGCCCGTTCCTAAGTGCTTGTCATAGCATGGCCTCCTCTGTGATAAGCACGGCTGTTTCCGGACCCATGGTACTCCCTTCTGTTCTCTGCGTGGCATGGACAGCGCAGGTCTGATGGTGCTACAACTACTGGGTCGATGCTGGTCACTAGTGCCTGCACCTGCCAGCTGGTGCTTCCTCTTGATAGGAAGTGACAGCACATGGTGCTGAGGAAGGCCAAAACAGGAGACCGAAGAGAAGGTCAGCCACCAAAAGGGAGGATGCCACATCTCTGCTGAAGTCCATGGCCAGTGGCCTTTCCTGTTCAACTGGTAAGGCACAAATTCTGGCCTGTTCCTTGAGAAATGACTTGTAAGTGGAAGGGCTTTGGCTCTCGCCATCAGCTGCAGCGCTTGCTCCTCATGGGGAGCAACCCCTTTCATGCAGGTCCCATGTGGTGCTGGTTGTCCTGAGGACTGCCTCACCAAATTTCTGGCTACCTTTCAGAGTCAGGTAGAGAGGGAGACCAATTCTACAGTTGCCCCCAGCTTCTCAACTGAAAAATAATCACAGGCATGTAGCACTTACAAATTCACCCCATCCTAACCAGCACTGGGTGCACACCTATAATCCCAAAACTCTGGGTGGCTGAGGCATGAGGATCCTAAGTTTGAGGCCAGCTCAAGCAATTTAGCAAGACCCTATCTCAAAATTTTCATGGGCTGGGGATGTAGTTCAGTGTGAAAGCCCTGCATTAAATCCCCTGTACTGCAAAAAACCAACTAACCCATCAGAACAACAACCAAACACACCCCCAAACAACAAAACCCCATATAAGCAAAGACAAGTCCTACAAAACCAAAACTGACCCCCTCTCTCTAAGCATCTACAATTGTTCCTCCTGCTCAGGACTAGGGGTAAGAGTGTCTCCACTCTGGACTCAGTTCTATGTCAATCAACCTGAAAGGGGAGTCATATTTCTGCTGGGTATATGCTGATGGCAGAAAGGTTATTATTCCAGCCATGAAGACCAGACATGCATGTAGAGTACAGTCCATGTGGAATCATTTCATCTGTGACTTCAAGCGAATCAGGCCTGGCTGCTGAGTATGTCTGACTTATGACGCCAATGCTGAGAGGTGTTCAAGACAATGCTCAGCGGTGGTACAACCATTCTGCCTGTCTGTTCCACTCTGTAGCTACTTCTGTGTCTCTCAAAGTGACAGACATGTCAGGAGCCGTTTTGTGTTCATGAGTTAACATTTCTTTTGGCAGAGTTGAAACAACTCTCTCCAGGTGAGTGTACAAGCTGCTTGTGGAATGTTAAGTTGGCTACTAATGCTTGGGTCATAGCTTCAAGCCCTTCTGGCTCACTTTAGTAGCTTAGAACTCAGGCTGGCAAGAACAAAAACATGAACAAACCCTCACAGTGACTCCCAAGAGGGTTTCTCCAAACTGCTCAGGCTTTTTCCTTGGGCCAGCTGAACTGGTCCAGTGAATTCCAGCCATGTGAAAGAAGAAGTTCTGAAGGCAGTAGTTCCCCAGGGCCTGACAAAGAGGGTGACTGCTGCCCTTCTCTACTTGTTTTCACATCTTCAACTATTTGCCCAACTTGTCCACAGGCTGCACTCCTGCAGCCACACTGCCTGGGATCCTTAGGTCTCTGTGTGGGATCCCACTTTCTGTGCCTACTCTGCTACCAAGCATGGCTGTGGCATGTGATCTGGGATGCCAATGCCACAATCATGGATCTGTGATATGCCGAGGAGGCTCTGCTGTCAAAACAGGGATGCAAGGGGGCACCAAGGAATGGCCAGAATATCCCAGACAAGCTTTAGGCAAGGAGGGCCTGGAAAGTGGGACTCCCTAAGCAGAGCCCTCATCAACACTGCAGCTGGCCCAACCTGGAGCCCAGGGCTGCACAAAGCCAAGGGTCAGTCTTTTGGCCAAAATAACACCTAGTTTTCTAGTTCTGAGGAAGTGAAGTGTGCAGCATTAATACAGAAGGAAACGTGCAGTGAGGGGCACGCTGGCCATGGCATACTGGCTCACCCGCACATTTCAAACCTGTCCAGCACAGGCACACCTAGCACACTTGGTAAGAACTAGACACTCCTCTTACCTGCACATACGTATTCTTTCCAGAGACTATTAACTACTTTATTTCTGACCTTAAAAGTTGGCCTTTAGGACACAGGGA